GAGTTGAAAATCCGGATCTTATTTTTGATACTGAATGCTGTTGACCTCCCCACAGACTTGAGAGTAATGAAAGTTTGTCTTGCTTTTCCGATCCACGCTTTGATATCCTTGTCAGTCGTCCGCCAGTAGTTGAAACGATGCTTCCTAGGTAGGTGAGTAGGTAAAGGAGGTTGTTTCTTTCAGGTTCCTCCCATTTATGCTGATTGTTGTCTCTTGTTGTTGTTGTTGCTGCTGTTGGTGTTGACCAGGAATCTTCATCACCTCTGTTTTCTCAATGTTCACCTGAAGTCCTATCTTCCCTGGATGCTTCTTCTGCCAACTTGTTGCTTTTCACTTGCATATCTTCCAGTTTGTGGGAAATCAGACATATATCATCGGCGAAGTCCAGATCCTCCAAGTTTTTCGTGTGGGTTCATTTTATGCCTGTTTCCTCATTGCCCGTTTTCTGTCGCATTATCCAATCTACTGCAATCAGGAAGATCATTGATGATAGTAGGCAGCCTTGCCTCACTCCTGTCCTCACTTCGAAGGCTTCCGTAAGTTTCCCGTTGTGGATTACCTGGCATGCAGTGCAGCATTGTCGTATAATTGTTAAATGAGATGTATAATTGTCGATGGCACCCCGTAGTAGCAATTTAGTTGCCAAATCACCACCGAATTTCAACGAACTTATTAAATCTTGCTTTTTTAACATTTTTACTTGTTTTAAATTTTCATCGGGTAGTAAAGTTTTCTGATTGTCAAAGTTTTCATGCACTGATTTCAAGTTTTGGTTAGACCACCTCTCTAACTCTGTTCCAAAACCAGATAGCATTGCTTGTCAAGGAAGGAGGTGGCTAGGCGTGTCCAGCGCGTTTTCTAGCTGCATCAACTGATGTAGCTTCGCAACCCTATCGATTAACTTTTTCTCCTCCCTTAGAAGTCCACACTTAACATCGACAATACTCAGTATATTATGCCGCTTAACATAGGAGAAAGAAGGTGATCACTAGTGGTCAATGAAATTTTGGATTTTTTCGAAATTCAGAATTCAAAATGTTTAAACGACATTTCCTCCAGAGTGAATAGGATCATTAGCGCCTAACTCAGAATCAAGCAAGTAAACAATGTGCAACTAAACATTAAACATTTATGGGAATAATTGTCAGTTATGCAAATAATTAATTAGCACGTGAGGTATTAAAAGTTTAACACAATAAAAGCTTAGTTATTGATTATAGTTACCCTCCTAATTACATTCAAATGGCAGTATATATACAAACACTGAAATCAAGTAATTAATTTAAACTATTTCGTCTTTTCTTTTCACACTCATAAAATTTATTTGAAGTCTTAGTTGTTTCTCTACTCATATTGTACTCAGCATGTTCTCAAACAATAAAAGTAACTGATTAACCTGGTGGCATTTTATTCTACTCTTTCTGCGTCTGCATGAATATGAGTCATCAATATTAATCCATAAAACACTAGTGTCAGTAATCGTTTTTCTAACATTAGTGTTGTAGTTTTTGTGTTTCATCAGTTAATTAATTGGCTTATAAAGAAGATCATTTGGTTAATAATGTTGTAAACATCGATTAACTGACCGTGTTTTTATTCACTGGGATATAAAACCAATATGATAACGGAAGAAGGTCGTATGAATAGTTACTCATATTATGCAACTGTTAGTTTTACCTAAATTTCACTGAATTCATTAATTTGGATCATACAGTGCTCTGTAGTGATGTATACATCACTTAAATACTTGTCGTGAACATCTTTATTATTTTCCTCACCACCATTTGAGTGTTTTACTTGAAAGATTACTTTTAAGTAGAGATTCATCGCAGGGGAGAGTGCAGTCTACCAACAAAATATAAAGTAAAAAATTCAATTTGAGGAATAATAATCGCCATTTTAGCCCCATTTATTTGTTATGAACATATTGCCAAAAAGTATTTTTTTCAGAATTTCGGTAGATAACGCTTAAGGCTGTATTGGTGTTGATGAGATGTCCAACATGGACGAAGTGTAACAGAATCAAGCTTTTTATGCTTTTCATGTTTAATAATGAAACGAACAGATAGGTTGCTAAGGTTGCCACGAGATCCCCGATAAAACCTATTTTTGTGAACATATTTCTAACAAAACTAGAAAATAGTCCGTTGAAAGATGAAAAAGCGAAAATAAAAATGTATTGTCCTTACATGGATGACACTTTATACTGTAGGATGAATGGTTACTTAGCGATTCGGTTTTGAGCCAATTCAGTAATGCTCATCCAGTGGTCCATTTCACCTATAAAGAAGAATACATCGACTCTCTGCAGCTTCTCCATATCCTATTAACAAGGAAAGAGGATAGTTTCATCAGAACAACCACATTTAGAAACCTAGGGACCAAAGCTCAAAATAAATTTTCCCTTAGCTTCCTACCGATGAAATACAAATGTAGTCTGATCAGGCGCTTAACATTTAGAACGACATCCACTGGCCCCGAAGGTTGTGTAGAGAAAGAACTTCAAGTTATCCGTGATATTCTAAACGAGAATACATATTCAGCGAAGTTCATCAAATCCAGCATTTGTTACAAAAGTCGTGAACGTAAACTCGGAGCTGTGAAGGAAAAGCCTTTATTTTTACGTCTACAATTCAGGTTGGGTACTCCTACGGAGAACTATCACAACTTTTAACCAGGGCGATAAAGAAAACGTCCTGCTCTGCTCACCTGTTCCTATCCTCCAGTAGCCGTCCAGTGTCCACCCGGCAACTGAAATATATCTTACCTAGTTTCTTCATGTATAAACCATTCCAACTTTTCCTGTGGTTCAAGTTGTGTAGGGCATAAGATTAGGCAAGTTCGTCTACGGATTGGAGAACACTTACCAGCTTGGTACATCAAAGGATAAATTAAATGCATTCGTTTTCTATCCGGTAAACGACGCTTCAACTTCATTAAAGAAGATAAAAAACGAATGCGATATGAGAAATAATGAGAAAGATTATAGTAACCGTAATGTTGGTATTCAAAACTATCTAAGTATTGATGCATTACTAAGACACTGTTTCTTATAGAATTAAAGGAAGAGAAAATCATCAGGTCAGAATGTAACTTGTGGGTATATGGATCTGACCTTCAGCCAGTTTAGACATACAAAGCTGTTACATTTCTCTCGTTAATATGTGAGCGATATTTTTTCCCTAGTCTTTAGAAAACTCGCATAGCTTGTGTGCATATAGGAAAATTAATGAGCATTCAGTTTTATAATTGGTATAGTCAGTCAACTTAACTGCATAGTCCTTAGATCAGGCAGTGCATAAATCGAAGAACCATTTTCTATCCCTAGTGGGTGATTCACATACCTGTCACCATGAAGTAGTTTCAGCATAAAGATGAATACTAATTAGCTCCAGAGCACTCTGTGTTCAAAGGGGATCTAGCCTGAGGTTTAGTTTGTCGCCTGTCATGTTTGAGCTGTCCCCTAGTTTATGTTTATCTCTTCTTTTCAGTGCTATTTTAGCATCCATTTTGGAGGCATTTTCCCATATTCTTCTAAATAATGACAGAAAACATGTATCTTATTCAACAGTTCAGATGCAACATTTCTTATTTCTTAGAAATGATCGTGAAGACACCACTTACCTGTTTCAATGTTTTTCACACAAGTGGAGTCGACTTGTTGGAACAATGTTCAGCCATAGCTTATAAAACACAAGCTCAGTGGTCTAGTGGAAAAAGCTCTATTGTTTGAAACATCGGGTTCTCGGTTTGACTGACAGTGGAGCATTGTCAGTCAGTGTGGGGGGGGCGGATGTGCCTATCTGACGAGTCTCAAAATAGGATGAAATGCGAATTATGGATTCCACGTCTAATCATTACCAAATATTTAATTTCGAGTTCTTATCCGTGATAATATCCCCTTATTCGTCTAAGGAGCCTATATGCTGGAATTCGGCTGATAAATTCAGTCCCGATATTTAGATAAGAAAAGAAATAAGTAAATAATTATAAGTGTTGCTTGGGTTAACCCTTATACACTAAGGCACTATGTTAATTGACTGAAAGTAGGTTCATGTATGTCGCCTTCAATGTATGTCTTTAGGTTTGCTGAACTAAGCTCTTAACAAATCTTATTAGTGGGTCGTATAAACAACAATAAAAATGTGGCACAAGGGTAGAGTGATCACCAATCACGCATGTGGCTCATCAGTTGACACACTTGTTTACCTCGCTAAACCAGTAATAAGACCGGTAAAGAGGAAAGGTTGGGCATGAGGGTAGCGACTTCATCCTGTAAAAGTTAAACACTGCTACAGAAACTTCAAGCCACTAGCTTGGAGCCTTATGTTCCACTGGGAACGTGAAGGAAAAATTATTATTATTATTTATTATTAATAATATTCCACGCGGTCATTACAGAGTGAAAAAGAAGTATTTGCATTTGATTCGGTGGGTAGCGTATGTTTCATCAACTACTGTTGAAATTGTAATAGTTATTCTAAAGCTGAATAGATTAATTAATTAATTTTTTTTTTTGATTGCACAATAGTCAGTAACTAGAGTAGCGTGTGTGTGTCTAGTCCAATCTTTGAGGTGAACTGAATTCTACCAGTCAAATTTGCCATGTGACCACCATGTTAGGTGGCTCACTATCACAGTGCACTGTGAATTGTTGGTTTTACAACAAAGTACATATATCAACTACTAACTTCTAAATCACCGAAAATTGCCAAAGCTTTTATTTTAATTGTTGTATATGTTTTTGAGAGATATTGCATTCAATTCCCCGACATCTGACTTTTAGGTATCAGAGGTATATTTATAAACTAAGGGTTATCCAAGATGATGAAAGCTACAGACACAAAACACTTTGCTTTTGTTCACCAATTCACACTCAAAGAAGTAATTGGCCCCACAAAAAATACTGAACATAATCAAGAATTATTATCAGAGAAGCAGAATATTTTCTGCTATCGCTTATATCTGTATTAATCACACTTCATATTTCTCCTTTACAGATTCTTATCTATACAGATTTAGCTCAAGGAACACAGATGACACAGATCTATACCATTTCTTCAAAAGATACAGTAAAAGACGTTATCAAACAGATACTTGCAAGAAATCATTTGAGTTTGAAAGATCCAAATTTATTTTACCTCACCTTCAGACGTCAATCTTCTAGTCATGAAAATAAAAAGGGTGTCAGGCAGAGGCGCATGTTTCAGAGTAATGTATACGAAGAAAATCTACAATTGTCAACAGCTTGGCCACTGCAAATAAATCAAAAAGGTAATCTTCTCAAGTAGTAATTTAGGCATATTTCGACATCTTATACTGAGCGAATTTTAAAAATTTTATCATATTTTTACGTTTCTCAGCGTTTAATAATAAAAAATAGGGGGGGGATATTTTCTCAGTAGGGTTGTTTCATGTCACTTAAGTCGCGTTATTAAAATTCTTTTCTGTGTAGGCAAATTTAAAATTATGCCTCGTAAAAAACCCAATCAGAAGCAGCCAAAATTATGTATCGAATGAGATTGTGTAAAAGAATGTGATTGCAATATTTGAACCTTTTTGGGAGTCTTCTGTTTGGAAGGTCAATCAGTCCATGTTTAATGGCAGCCGTTAAGCTGTTGATCTTATCTACGACGCTAATTATCAAACCTCATGGATAAGGGAGACATTTTACTTCATAAACTTACTTCAGTGAAAGTTGTTCTTCCACGATGTGAAATTTATATATATATATATATATATATCATGATCCCAAAATAACATTAAATAAACTAACGACATCGAGACAAATTACAAAACAAGATCGATAGCGAATGAAATGTAACAGACATATTTTACCTCGATTTTATGGTAGACCGAAACCACGCAAACCAAACATACCCTTACGACTAATCGTTTGGCTTCCAGGAACACCAACATATAATCTATCTGATGAACTTTTCAGGAAATTAAAATACCTAACAGAATCATGTGACCATTCTATCGATTCGTCAATTCAATTTTTAGAGAAAATCAAAAACATTCAGGTAGAAGACAATGAAATAATGGTGTCCTTTGATGTCACAGCATTACATACTTCAATTAGTCCAAAACTAGCAACAGAAACTATGCAACAATTACTCTATAGTGACGAAAACGCAAAAACGCAGTGTTCAACTTGGATAGAACTCATAGAATTATGTCTTACAACATAATTCCAGTTCAGTACTCAAATATACGAACAGATAAAAGGGACACCAATGGGATCACTCATTTCAGGATTCATATCTGAAGCCATCATGCAACTATTAGAATTAAAAGCTCTACCTATAATTAAACCAAAAGTCAGGGTACGTTACGTTGATGATACATTTGTAATAATTAAGAGAAATCATTTAGAATATACCCATAAATTAATAAACAACGTATTTGAAGACATCAGATTCGCAAAAGAAGAAGAATTAGATAACAAAATCCCATTTTTAGATGTCTTAATAAGGAGAACTAATACAGGAAATATAGAAACACAAATATGTAGGAAATCAACGCACACAGATCAAATACTCAACTAGGGTAAGAATAATCCAATTACTTAAAAAAGAAACTGTGTGCAGACAGACATTGTTTAAAAGAATTCAAACATACTGTAGCACTCCAGGGTTGAAAAGAATGGAAGAAAAATACCTACTAACGGTCTTCAAAAAGAATGGATATCCGCGAAATTCCATCAAAAAGTGTTTAAAATCAAGTCACAACACCAAAAGAATCATTACCAAGGACCACAACAAAACTCATCCTACCATATATAAAAAATATGTCTGAAATAACAGCTACAATACTGAAAGCGTTTGAAATAGATATACCGCACAAATCCTTTTATTCGATATTGTGCAAACCGAAAGATCCAATAAAAAAAGAGTTAAAATTAATACCATTTAAAAAATAAATTCTATGAACTCTAACAGGCATTACATCGGCCAAAGTGGGCGTCCCCTTCGAATCAGAATCCAGGAACACAAATCAGCTGTGAAAAGACATGATATATATTCTTTCATATCATTTTATGTAGATAATTATGAACACCAATTTGATTAGGATAATGTCGAAATTTTAGACAGAGGGAACACAAAAGGGGCCAGGGAATTCCTAGAAGCCTGGTACTCTAGCGAACCAGAGATTAACAAACATGTTAATAAAGATCAAATATACCAACTAACAAAAAGTAAATCATGTGACAAGAAAGTTCAAAATCCCAGTCAATAAAAATGATCAATAGAGATGTAAAGATGGTTACCAGGAGACGCCATTATATCACTCATGGAAAAAATTTAAATCAGTTCACTTTATGCCAAAAAGTTGCGCTGAAGATGTTGTCCAGATGGACGACGAAAGCTCCGCAACTAAACCAACCAGCTCAGAGAACACTACTGACTGCATATATATATATATATAATATCATTTGATTACTAAAAGATATTTTGTTCTATGTCAACTCTACCAGACAAAAATTATAAAAGTGATCGTTTATAATTCGTCAAAATTCCAAATTTCAAGACGAAATGTTACAGTTCTACGAGGTTATGCATAGGGGCAGCTAAGTAGTAGTTAGATTAAAATTTGGCGTAGTAAGAAGTAGAGCTACAAGTTTTTTCTGTATTGTGTTAGCAGATATATATTAGACAACTTTATGGGTAGCTATTCAGGGTTATTACAGTCTTCGGCTAATTTATTTCTCCGGATGCACAGTTTACTTAAGTAGAGGTAATTCACACAAATTTGACTGAATTTGTACTTGATGAATAGGCTTGGATCAGAAAAGCAGTATTGACCTTTGTTAATTTGAAATCAATGCGCAAACCTGCAGCACTCAGCATAAAGAACAAAATCCAGATTTTCAACTCTAATGTCGAATGAGGTAGTACTTTTAACTTATTCAGAGACTGAGAGAGTTGCGAAAAGCATTCGGAACAGCTTTCAGATTTCCATCAACCATTCCCTTCACTTCCTCGATACTAAAGATCAAATGGCCGTAAAGTACCAGTATCAAGGAATTCCGGTAAGAAAAGCCAATCAAAATTCGATCACCCAGTAAACGCAGATAGACTAGAAACACACTAAAGAGACCGTTGAGTGATATCAAGCTCAAGATAGGCACTTGAGTGAAGCAAGTAGAAAACCACGGGGGTGACGCGGAGGAAATGAGAGCTTATGATCAATCATTCAGCCAGATAAAAAGGAGAACGCAGAACAGGATGAAATAAAGATGCTCTGCTGAAGTCATATGTTCCGCTTGGAACCTAAGCGAATAACAACGACAATAATGATAGCAATTTCAAGTAGTTTACTGGACTGAAGCTAGATATTATTCACATGCGAACCCACTAAGTGTCATTATGTTAAAAGGTCCAGAAAAGAAGGCTAATATCTTCTTTTAAAGAAAAGTTATAAACAATTTATTCAATCAATATGCATTAATCACAAAATGATGACCTCTCAAAGTGTGTTTCTCTCTATCAGAAACATTAATGGCATACTTTGAGTGCTTCATATTTCGAAGTTATACAATTCTGAGTTACAGAATTTGGTATACATATTAAGAAGAAGAAATTTGTCATTATTTTATTTTTATTCACTGCTTTTACTTTACTTCTGTGTGAAACTATGCGAAAACCTTAGTGTGATGAACAGTTTTTACTTTCACTCAGTCTATTGATTTATCATTTTATTCAACGTATTAATCGAGAGAAACAGTGCACAGGTATACACATAGATGCTTGTCTATAGATAATACGACTTTGACATACACTCAGTATGTTTGTTACTTAATGTTAGATGTGTGTGTATACAGGGACAATTTAGGTATTTTATCCTGATTTAGGTGAAATGACAGAATCAATATGTGATTTGGTGAAGAATTTTTTTTTTGTTTTTACTAATAAAAAATCAAAACATCTAATGATGAATTTATTTTTTTTAAAGTGAATTTTTCTCTCTAGTTAAACAATATTTAGACAAAAAAATGTGAAGTTTTCTTTTTTGCTCATATTTGAAAAGATTGCTAAATGTTGTAAACATTTATGGAAAAACATATAATTCGGGTATTCGATAGTGTGAATTTACTGATGAATAATAGTATGCGCCAATGAAGCTATAAGCAGATTACATTGAAGTAATTTGGAAGGTGTTTCAACGCTACTGTTCACCCAAATCCACAGCTGTGTAATGTCCGGAGTAAAGAAACACTGCCTACTGGTACCAGTGATATCCCTGGTTTTGATGGACTGGATCATGTGACAGGCTGAGGGCAGTCAGAAGACAGGGATACACTGGACCGACAAGAAGACTCCAGTGGACGATCTTTGTCTTATATCATAAAAACTCTAAGATGTACGGGTGACAAGTAGGGCGCAGCAGGTCGGGTGTGAGCAGAAATACTCGCCAAAGACATTGGCTAGGGTTCGCGCTATGTCATGAATTGGCAAAAGTTAGGATTCACGGGCCATTAGATTGAGTCCCAGTGGCTTCATAGTATATGAGCTCGCCTTGTAACCAGAAGGTCTTGGGTTCGAATACAGGTGGGTGCGTACTGATGAAGAGTCCCAAACTAGGATGAAACAGCTATCCAGTACTCTCAGGTTTTCCAGTGGTTCTCTAACTAATGTCAGCTCATGATGAAATCATGTAACCAATCAAATCCCTACAAACCAAAACTTGAAAACCGATAAATAGGCAGAAGAAGCGGCAAAGACAAGACTTCAAATGAAGATAGAGGTGATGCGAATACCCGACAACCAACAACAGCAAAAACACTAATGAATGTAAATAGGGAGAATTCTTGGGGAAGTCACCTCTTTCCCTTATGTAAGCAATGTCATTTTAATTCCTGATAGCAAAGATGAGAATGTCATTGGGAGGATCGGACAAGCAAGATGAAACTTCATTAATCAGAAATCACGATGTAAATCTCATGCCCTCAGCGTAAACAAAAGGGTTCAGATTCCTAACAATAATGTCATGTGAGTGCTTCTATGTGGTTTTAAGACTTTGGGTGCCGTCAAAAAGCATTTCCAAGGGGCTTCAGGTTTTATCAACAGTTGCATTTGTCGCATATTGAAGATCAGATGGCGGAAAACGATTAGCATCAAAGAATTCTGGCGATGAAACAATTAATAACCTATCATACCATAAATGTGTAGAAGAAAGTTGATATGGATCGGGCGCATGTTGACGAGATAATTGAGTGATACCACATGCAATGCAGGGCTTTCAGTGGAGACAGTGAAAGACGACTGTAGAGAACAGGATGAGATGAAGATACGTTTTTGAAGCTCTATGTTCCATTGGGAATCCAAAGGTATAATTGTGATATACAGATATTTCGCACGAATTAAAAGACGGAGAATAAATATAAACCAATTCCTGGCAGGTAACATCCACCACTTTTGTTCTATAGGTGAACCGGGGATTATTAAATGACACTGACAAATCAATATACAAGACAGTAATTCGAAAAGATAGTCATTAACCAGTTCACTAATGTTAACGTCGATTAAGTGCAAGTTTTTTACACATTATATTATTATTGACGATTCTCCGTCTTTAATTTTGAAATAAAGGATGAACCATTTCTACTTAGGCTTTCACATCTAAGCAACAAAAGCCTATAAAATTATAAAATATTTAAGTGTTAGTTGAATTTATTTATGCTACCCTTTCTTCTCTTTTCTGTTTAGAAGTTGATGTTACTCTGTATAGCGATGCAATATTATCAAGAACTTTAGATTTAACCAAAGACAACAGGTAACACTCAATATTTCATAAATCCATTTTTGATTGTCATGCATATACGTATCAGTCAAGTTATCTCTTGTTTTAATGAACTGAGATATTTTTAACTGTTTAAATACTGAGGAGTGTATTTTTCAAAATAATTGGTTATGGATATATTTTTCGCCTTTCAGTATTGAATGGTTTTATAGCTTCGAATCAAAGTTGGAAGAATCAGACTTCTATATTTTATGATTGATGCTTCAAGGGTAAAACCAGTACTGATGACGTCAGTAAGTTGAATGATAAAATTATGACGATAAAATATCAAAAGTAAGATGAGATGTTGTGCATTGTTATTATAGGTATTATATGTTTGTTTCCGTAAACCTCCAACAAAAAACATTGTAGTTTGAGGCGAATTCACTGCATCTGGTGTCCTTTAAATCTATCACATATACACCAAGTTCAAAATGTGTTTAGAATTTGATAAAAGTGCTATTCTGAATAATAAATAATTTAAAATTATTAGCTGTCTTTATGAATTTAGACTAAGCAACAAGAAGACGTAATTTGTCTGAATCGCGTAATGTTTTTACGCAACACATTTCAAACAATCTGATCACACACAGATTTGTCATAATAAAATATATGGAATTAATAAACAGTTAAGACGTAAGAAAATTAATTTAGGTCATTTTAAAAGAACATATTAAATAACACTGAAGATCAATAACAGAGGTAATAGTTCATCTGCTGTGGTATCAAAACAAAGTTTATAGCAGGTTCGGGGTGAGGCAATAACTCATTGGAGAAGATATTGGGAAGTGGTCGCGCTATGTCATCAATTGGCAGAAGTTAGAATTCATGCACCGGCCATTGGATTGGGTCCCAGTGGCGTAGTGGTCTACGAGCTCGCTGGCCTCTTAACCAGAAGGTCTTGGGCTCGAACACTGTAGTGTGGGTGCGTGCTGATGATGAGTTCCAAACATGGACGCAACATCTGTCCAGAATTCCTTAGTGTTTTTTCAATGGTTCTCTAACTGAAGCCAGCTCATGACGATATCCTCTAACAGATCAAATTTTACCAAGGAAGCTTTAGAATGATGACAAATTGTTACTTTGAACACATAAAGGTGGTTTTAACTTCCTAATTGTTAGGGCTATCACAAACTTTAGGATGACACCAAAACATGTTATACTGATAGGGTCAAAAGACGTGTAAACATCAATTTTATGTCTTGTCTCAATAATATGTTTCGCAATAGAGCAGCTAGGTCTCCTGTCCCCACTAATAACGGGTTCTGGGGATTCTGTTTGCTTTGGAAGCTATTTAAGTGTATGATCTGAACCCAGCCCTTATTTGCAGCGATCGATAAGTCCTCCCAATGTATGTGTGTCCACAAATCCTTTTAACCTGACGTAAATTTATTTTCTTGCTTCTTAACTCTTTATTAATTTCAAACATATTCCTATGACAAGTCCATGTGTGATTAGAATTTTCGAAATTTGTTTCTCAAATACATTGCACTATTTGGACAAATTGCGTCTTCTAGTTGCTTTGCAATCAAAAATCGATAGATATCCTTCTCATGTTACCTCCAACTGTGTATACAAATTGAAGGACAGAAAGAAAGGGCATATCTAAGATTTTCTGAACATGTACCAAAAAGCTTACGTCTAAAGGGAACAAATGCTTTAAACAGTGCCATCACAAGGCATCTTCTCGACACGGGTCATGAGGTGGACGTCGAAAAGTCGTTCAAAATTATCAATAAGCAAAATAGCTCAATTCTCCTTAAGTTTGCTGAAGCCATTTCCATCAAGCGCATGAAACCTGATTTATGCGTCCAGAAAGAAGCTGTTATGAGCCTTTCTTTGCTCTGTTAACTGGATAATTTCACCTCTCTTTCCTCCGAGTGTGAAATGCTAAAAGTTTCCATTGTGTTTGATTATTATTGTTCGGAATAGTGGTTAATATTGCATATTTATATATGTATATATACTTTTAGTGTAAGAGTATATTGATCGATTGATTTCTGTTTAAACCGAACTCTGTGCAAGTATGTTAAAATTGTTGTTGTAGATATAATTAATAATGTCTTTGCCATGTAAGCAGCTGACGAGAAGGCAACGAAATAAAAGATGGTACCATTTTATTCTGCTAAAACTGTAGTTCTTGCTTTGTTCAAATTTATTAAGGGGAATAAATGTATGAAATAACTTGTAACAGTTGAATGGACACAAAACATGAACAAAAACCTTTTAACACCTAGGCATTCTATGTATGGGAACAATGTATACTTTTAATTTGACCTTTGTTCATACTCTCAACCTTTAACAGTTTATTATTTTCCATTCATATTTCTATGAAAGGTATGTGTGTGTCGGTGGCTCATTGGTACAATGGTTGCCGACAGCACATATGGTTCGGGGTTCGATCCCCGGCAACAGACGCACTTCTTGACCCCACTAAGGCAGTAATAAGACTGGTAAGGAAGGAAGGTTGGTTATGAGGCTGGCAAGGTCATCCAGTAAAAGTATACACCACCGCTACAGAAACTTCAAAGCCCCAGCTTGAAGCCCTATGTTCCACTGGGAGAGTAAAGGAATAAAAAAAAATGGAAATTATGTGTATTATCAGGTTGTTCAAAATGCTCTGTGTAAATAAGTTCTATGGATCAGGTAATTTATGACTTGTTACCAATTTGCTGAAAAGGAACTAATAATTTCCAAAACGGTAAAGTTTATAATCTCATAAATCAACACACAGGGAAAAAAGTACGAATTGTTTTCAAGATGACAAATCATCCCAATCAAGTAACAGATAGCTTTAAATCACAATGAATAAGTGAGATTAGAGTTTATGGTGGTAGAAGGTATGACATAAGAGACGGAAGCTTAAATAATGTATAGTAGTAGGAAAAAATTATGGTAAAAGAGTAAGGGATCTGTCAGAAAACAAATATTACAACATAGTGGATTTAATGGATAGTAGAAAATGTTAGAAAGATGAATAATGCTTAAAGAGTATATAAAGGGATCAAAGCAACAACAAAGTAATAAACAAAAATTAGTTAAAGATGAGCTATGTGAAAGTATTTTGTACCTTAGCTAGGATTAAATCAGCAGATTGCCGCTAAAAAAAAACTTAACAATCTATTGTTCCTATATCCGTTTATCGCATAAAAGCTGCGTTTGAAGGAAGCATGTATCTACCGGTAACAGTGACAAGCTTTTCGAAACATGCGCACAGACTGTTTTGGTAAACGCGCTCTCTCTCTCCATCATTCCAAAGCATATGTTATCTGTAAATGCATGTAGTTGATTAAACAGAGATTCTAAATATTTTTGAGCTCAGACTTTGAAATTTATTCTAGGCAGTAAAATTAATTACAGTTATCTTCAAGTAAAAGTCTGTTGTATGTCATAAAGTAGTAATTTGTTTGCTAAATGTTTAACTCAGCAGTAAATAAAGCCTCCTGCTTGACAGATCACGTTAGACAATGAAAGTGAAATGTTGAAAGAATAAATTGCTATTCCCCTTGTATTCATATCTGATTAATGAAAAGCTGGATAATTTATTTCACAGACAACATTAGTGACAGACTGTGAAATAGTTTTAATAAGTGTCTAGTAGATGCAAACATGATTTATTGTGTTAGTTAGTGTATGTACATGTGTGTGCACAAGTTATGAAATAAAACGAAATCCTAAGATGATAAAACTAAGTGCCTTGCTTAGACAAAGAAAAAGTGCTATTGATTTAGCGAAAAATAATCTGTTTACATAATTATTAGGAATTAAACTATTGCCTTATACCTTAGACAACTGTTCACCGTACAAGTATCAAGACCATAACAACAAGTCTCTGCATTTTTCAAAAAGACTAATATTTGATTATCTAACTACATCTGTCGAAATTCAAGGTAACACATAAGTGAAGATGTACCACACAGAGCTTCACTCTTTTTTAAATTACAGAATGTTTTTCTGAATATGACTTTTTGTGACTGGGATTTAAAGAATATGGTATTGTACATTTTTTTGCTGATTCAATTGATATATTATGGTAAACTGTATCACACTAATAGATATTTGTGCTACATGAAGTGCACATGGGTTTGCAGACCTCCACTGAGTTTGTTACAAATGATTTTAACCAGTTCTTCTCCTCATTTCCAGCTGCAAAATTTGAACCTTCAATGAAGCAAGTGTCTTCTTTACGGCGTTAGATTGATGGAAATATGTCAAAACTTTCCTGTTTTCTGAGTTTACTGCTGGTCAGATGACGAAACATTTGCGACTGAGTCAGACAGGAATGGAACCCAGACCTGTCGTGTGACCGGGGAGTATTTTATTAGTCCTTAATTTTAACTATTTTCTGGGTATAACCCCATAGAGTACCATTTCTATGAAGTGAGCTCAAAATTTACTATATAAGAATTAGTTGTACTTCGCAGCACATTTAGATATACCGCTTCATGTTTGTAAATTAAAAGCTAAATATCATTTAATTCAACCTAAACTTTCCAGTTCACTGATTGGACTGAAGTACTGAGCCTAAGGTTGACATGTCGACTCCCTCTGCAGATGCGTCGACGATGTCTGCTTATTTAACTTGAAGTAAATTGCTGGGTGGTAACTAGCAGTAGAATCCAGGATGGGCATTTCTTCACCCTCGAGACTTGTCATCCGAATGTATCTACATTCCCCAGTGAGCGGTGGTGTCCCCAATGAGACCCAAACCTTGTACCCATAGTTTCAAACGCCACAATGCTATCCACCAAGCCACTTTGGAACACAATCCCTCACTGCGAAACGTAGGTGAATCCAGATGACAAGTCCCAAAAGGGCGAAATGCACATACTGGATTCCACTTCTGGTCACTATCCACCAATTGGCTAAATAGTTTGTCTAATATAAACCTCACACTATCTATCTCAGCAAAGTTTATTCAAAACTTTCGGGCTGAAAGCCAAAATATTGTGACCAGTTGGTGGGAACCATCGTAATATTGATCGCCGGGTGTGTAAAACTTGCAAAATAGCATCATTTACTGCCTAAGAGGTTTATTAATTTCAGGTTTCTCCATCATATGCAAGTCACTGAATTGTGTGCTGATATCTGGATTTATTCAAGGAGTTTTCGTTGCAACTGAAAGAAAACGACAGAACTTATGTTGAGCATGAGTGTATCATTTATAAGTTATTGAAAACATATGTGCTAGCGAAATTTGCTCCCCATACTAACAATGATGAAAGCTGCCACACTTTAATTGTAAAAAGATTAAATTAGCAATTATTCCTTTTAATACTGCTTTGTGTGTTTTTATCACTTTGTTCAAGTATTAAATAGGCACTGGTAGATGAATGATAAATATGGATTCACTACAAGGACTAAATATTTCTTAGAGCAAAGTATAATAAGTTTGTGCTATACTGAAAACCTCGGAGTACTGGACAGCTGTTTCATCCAGGTTTTATGATTCTAGTGTTCGAACCCAGGAATTTGTTCTTCCAGAGTAAGCTCTTTGACCATTTGGCCACTGGCACTTGATTCAGTAGCTGATTAATTCCAGCTTCTATCAACTAGCAATATATTCTCAGAATCTTGAAGAGTCCCAGACTGGAACAAAACAGATACCTAATACTTTCTTCAAATGATGTAAACTTTTGATCGAATCTGTAACCAATCACAGCCCTGAAAACCAACACTTGGTAATTATATCAAAAATTCAAATTTATAACAACAATAATTATGAAAAGGGTGAATCATTGAAAAAAAAACCTTTTCAACATTGAAAGGTGTCAATTAACATGAAACAATCGACCTAAGTTTTCTTTTTAATGAAACTTACTGTCCCTACTGCAGTATAGTAACTAACCTGGCTCTCACGACCCTACTAATCAGTGTAATGCACCACTATTTCGTATTACCTATGGGGCAGTCAGTAGTCAAAAAGCTGCGTACCTGAATTTCGGATTTGCTAATATTCATCAGTAAGCGATACATACGTATCCATGAGAGTAATTTTGCTTTTATGATCAGAATTTGTACCATCTTGTGCCAAAGCGGTAAAGCCAACTTGCTTATTCAAGTCACAAACACCATCCACTGGATCCAAATGATACAGAGAGGTACACAAAGTACTTGGATTATTTTCATTGGACACCAGTAACTAACGTGATGTGTCTAGTCCTATCTTTGGTGCAAACTAAATCCTATCTGTCAGGTTTGCAATGTGACCACCATGCTAAGTGGCTTACTATCACGCGGCACTTTGAATTTCTGCTGTTAGATGGTTGGAGGCAATCAGCAGGAAGCCACATCTGACCTAGGTTTCGTGTCTGTTAACACTGGCAAGACAGCAAGACGCATCTGATACTTCGAAGGAACTCATATCTCTTCTGAGATTCGAACCCAAGTCACCTAGTGCTGCAGTTACTGAATTTACCACTGAGGTATTCAGGCCAACGATTGACCTTCTGTTGGACTGTATTGGATATTTTTGATTGGACACTAGTGCCTGTGCACTGGATTATTATCTGGGAAAGAAAGAGCAGGTTATTGCCATATGCATGTCACGAAAGCATAATCAGTCGTTTTTAAGACTTTCACGAAGCCGCTTGTGGCGCCAATCTTTATTCTACCAGACTTTACAACCAGACAACATAAATCCTTATGTAAAAAATACTCCCTTCATTTAACATTTTGATAGTAAAGGTGTTAGTAATGAAAAATAAAGTATATTAGACAGTAATGTATATGAATGCACAATAAACACTTGAAACTTTTTCAATAAATTTTATAGGTTAACTCTACATATGCAAACAGGTGGAGTACTGAAGGTCTACGACAGCTGCTTTTCGAACCCAGTAAGTTGCGATTTCATGCTATAAACTGTTTATTTGTTATCATAAAAAACACTGATTAGAATCTATCCCTATCCATTTACTTCATGTAAAAGATTAAAAGCTTTTTTTTACAATTTTTATACATACTTATTATTAAAAATTAGTAAGTTGTTATAGAATTTGGCTTATAAATTGAGAGGCATAATGTATTCTATATTGGTCACTGAATATTTTGACCAGAAACAAGCACATATTCATGTTGAAAACTACCTACACTGTAATCTTCGCACTTGACTATAACCTGTTAGTTTGCTGAACTGCAATGCCTTGAAAAGTATTTTTTAAATTATTGAAGTGAACAGGATGCGCGTTAATGAATTTCTAAAAATGAACTGAAATTCATTTTTAACGAAATAATCAAGGTATACAAAAATGCAGTTAACGACATTTGTTAGGAGTACAATGTTTCGCGACTTAAAACGGTGTGAAATAACACAATTTAAAACACTGAAATATTACCAATTTGAAATCTACACAGTTCGATGAGGTGAAATTTTTCTCACAGCTCGCTTTAGAAGTTGAAATTATTCAGATAATAATGTGATCTGTTTGATACCATGAATACTAGACCAGTAGTACTCGCTAGCTAGATCACAGTGATCTAGTCAACGAATGCCCGTTTCGCTAGTTTGGGGCCGAGTTCCTTAGTGATATGCACGGTTCGACTCAGCTCAGACAGCCGAATCATTTCAAGTCAACCACTTTCTGCCTGATTTTATTTTATTTTGATTATAGCTTGGTTTCACACAGTATAATTGGCACAAGTATGGGATTTTCAGCGTGTGATATCGGTAGTGCAAATTTAGCAAGCCTATCATAGATTTCAGGTGTGCGTCGGCTGGGGGTCGAACCCCGGAACTTGCGGATTGCCGGGGAACGTCCTAACCACTGTGCCACCGACGCACGATTCACTGGTAGACAACTACTCATGTCATTCAGTTGGCAGTATATTGTCTTTAGCAGTGAAATACTAGTCAGAAAAATAGTATTTCAGAGTGAATCTAACAGATGAATCTAATAGTGGAGAATTAGCTCTAATAATTTGAAATAAGCCAAGGATACAAACTGATCACCTCCAAATAATGATGAAAACTAGTGAAAACTCGCAGCTACACACTTCTAATCACTCAACTTTTAAAAAATGTATTACGAAGCTATGCATCAATGCAGAAAACCATTATTCTTTTGTTATCGCTTCATGATTTCTAAATAGACAAATATGTTGAGAGATAGGAATGCAGCATGAATTGTAAATTTAAAAGAGTTGTGTTTTAGTTACTAATGAGTAGCTGTTAAGAAACAGAGGAACTATTTACGCATTTGCTATGGATACATGCTGAGAAAGCAATTCCTTTTTATTCACATAATAAGTACTTTAACTAAGACTGCTTTCACCCTAACGTTATTGGCTATTAAAATAAAGTTGGGGAAAAGGAATTATTTTCTAGAAAAATGTTCCATCAACACTAATCCTAAAAGCATTAATGACTTACAAAGTTCAAGAAGTAAATCTATCATCCCTGTTAATCTTATTAAAAACACCATAAAATATTCACTGATATCGCGTAAAATCGTAAGTTTTAGTGACTGTACAGAATCTATCACATTGATATAAAGTTTTTTTTGTATACTAAGTTTGATGATAGCCTGTTGTGTTTATCAACACAGTATATTGGGAAGATGGGGATATCTATATCACACATTCTAATAATTTTCTTTCTCCTCCCCGTACTGAAATTGATTTCAACAAATACATGTGACGTCACATTAAAGTACTGATTATCTGATGTCAATACGATGAAAAAATGATCCTTAGTTTAAAATATAGTCTGTTTTTATGTAATAATGTACAATTATGCGTATCTGAAATGCCATCAAATAATCCGAAGTGTATTGCTACACGTTGTTTTTATAGAAAAGCGGTTGTAATTATCCTAGATTCCGGGTGAAACCCAGGGATTCTGGAGCATATGTCTATTTTACCCTGTTCACTGCAATCCTTTCTTCCTGGTTCCAGGACTCCTCATACACTTTCGTTAGCAAATGCTGGAGAAGATTTGTAGCTCAGATGGATGATTTTGATATAGTTATGTTCTCTGAGCTGGACGGTTTATTTGTGAAGCTTTCATCGCCCTACTGGTCAACGTCTTTTGTGTATACTTCAATCTGAAGTGAGTTTTTAGATTTCTCCATGAGTTTATTAGTCATCTCTCTTGGTAAACTTGAACCTTTAGGAATTAATATCGGACAAAAACCAACAAAATCACTTCATCCATCTCTGTGTCAACCAAGAGACTCAACAAAGAATGAAGATAAAACCAACATCATATACAAAATAAATTGCCGCGATCGCGAAAAATATTACATTGATCAGAGTGGACGTCCCCTTCGTCTTCGTATCCATGATCATTAACTATTCCTCGAAAGACATGACATTCGCTCCCTCATATCGCTGCATACAGACAATCACAGACATCAATCCGAATGGGATAATGTTCAAATATTAGACAGAGGAAACACTAAGATTGCTAGAGAATTTTAAGAGCCCAGTGTATCGTCAATCAGACAGAATTTACAAATCGATAAGAAGGAAATCTCACGCACAAAGAGTGAAACCTCAATCTAAGGAAACAATCAGATCCAATACAAATACAAGTAGCCTAGAGTGTGAGAAAACACACAAACCAACCAATCACGTTCAAGGTCACCAGGAAAGATGACTAAAATACCCAGTGATAAATCCGAAAGCTTACTTCAAATTGAAGTATGCGCTGAAGATGTCGCCTAGTAGGGCAATGAAAGCCTCGCAAATAAACTATCCAGCTCAGAGAACATGACCACATCAAAAACTTTTATTTGCTCTTCTCACGATCTCCACCATGTTACCTTCAGACGCTCAGTTCGTCATTTCCCACTTCAGTTCCATTCAGTCACCTGACTATAACTGTATCCTAGGCGTGTGGCGAGTCCATCTTCATTTCCTTTGGTATATTTGTTGAACGATAGGTTTTTGGGGGGCGTTTGCAGCTGCTAAAGTGAAGCTGACATAGCTTGGTAAATATCACTTTACTTTTTATTGCATTATCAAGCTGAGGTTCTGATATTGTTAAAAGACAGTAACATATGTCCACCTTCTTATGAAATGACTTATTGATCTTATTACTCTCTTTTAATTACCATTTTTGTTTTAATTTCACTTTGTTGTTAAATAAAGGCATCCATTAGACAATTTCACATAGCAAAAACAACATGCAGTGAAGAGTTGATTGATCTGATACTAACTGTTGCGGGTTCAAGTGATCCAGTAAATGATTATTGTCTTGTGGAAGAAGGCGCAAATGAAGAAAGTAAAATAATATTTTGTTTTTGTGGATTTATAATTGTACACTATCTTTTAAGTATTACATATTATAAACATTGTTATTACTGTAGTTAGTAGTATCAATAATTCTTTCTTAAACTAAACGTACTCAGAATATTTTGATCAGATCACTGCCGTGAATCAAGCATACTAAGTCATGGGAATAAGTCCTATACATATATGAACATTCAGAATAGTTCTCATGATGCACATGTATGTATAAATTTAGATACATATGCTTTGAATACAGTGTCTATTTCTCTTTGCACTTATAACTGTTTGAGAAATTTGGAAGAATTAAGAAGGAAATGAGTAGGAAGTCACAAATCAAGTTCCGTCTTTTTGTTTAATGTACAAACGATAAAAGATTCAATGTAGCATTATTTATAGATGTAGATGATATTGACAGCATACTTAGAGTACGAAATGGTTACTTTCGATTTAAAAATTATCGTTGGATAGCTTGAAAATGAACGCAGCCCAAAGAACAAACCTGAATTTCAACCATATCTATACACTTAAAAGTGTTATTACTTGTTTCGGTGATATATTTCAGGCAATCAACTAACAGAATAAAATCAAATTTGCGACCTCTGTCCAAAATGTGAAAGATTCTTGTGTTCACTGAAGGATAAATATTTAAATTTTACATAGATCTGGTCATCTCTGATTAATAATTGTCAAATCTACTTTCGCTTCTTTTGTTTATCTGACATCAATCCAAAAAGTTAGGTTGGCAGCCACCATACTACTGAGTGCCTTTGTTAACGAGCAACTTACGGTGCATCTCTACCTAAGCTAAAAAATAACATAACAGTCTGATTCTTTAGTTCACTATTCTTCTAAATAATAGTTAGGAGGGAAAATTACTAATTTTCTACATATCTTACGAGTAGGTGTAAAGCAATATGTCACTTAACCTATGAAAGACGACTTGCGTAAATCACTCGGCTAAGTAGATTTACACCCAGTACAATGCATAAACTCTTTTCCATTTCTTACTGTTTTAAGCATCTAATTATGCTTTGAGAATAGCTACATGATCTCGCATATATTTTTAGTCTACCGTCAATGTATTGCAGATCACTCTTCAAATGAAGTGATGGGTGGACATCGCAGAGTATTGGATATTGATTCAGACGGATCACCTTAAAGTCAACCGGTGGATTGCTAAAAAACTATTTTCCCTGAAGATCATACACGAAATGTATTTATTTTTCAACGTAAATGCCCTCAAAAATCTGTATAATGTGTTAACGTATTGTCTAGAATAAAGGTGTCAATATTATATTCATCCTTAAACTGTTTATCTTGCACATCTAATTTACAGGTAGGATATTGCGTCCTAAAGACTATCCCTTATTAATTATTCAGAGTACTCAGTCATCTGGTATGTTGGTTCTGCGTAAACGAGAAGAGGCGTTAACAATGGGTAAAAGGCGTTCAAGTTGGGTAAGTTAGTCGTAATGTCTTTATATCACTTGATTCATGCGTACATTCGTAATTCTTTTAACTTTTTAAATTTGCAACCTTATATAGAGCTAAATGAATCATATTTAGGAATTTCTATACAGCCTACAGATATCTTGACCCGTAAGTGTCTAAGAGAATGTAGATATCATAAAATTAAAGAAACTAATTCTCAAATTGTTGCAATAGCAAACAGAATGGGAAGCGTCCACTATCCATTGTTATACATGTTAAATAACAGAAACTATGGCAAAATTAAACGTCCATCTAATCAATCAGTAGTCACATCATTTGCGCTCAGGTTTTCATCTTTTCCTTCGTTCTTATCGTCCTAATGATTATGTTCACCTATCATATTAGTAGTATTATTAACCAAAAAATCATCAAGAAACGTCAAAACTGGCATTTAAATGTAAGCGGATTTGTGAAATGAGATATTTAACGCTCTTAATTGAAGAAATAATCTATTCTACGTTATAAACCAATAATACTATAAAGTTGAGAACCCAAGAGTTATTTATATCTGATACAATACTGTTCTACAACATACAGCACCACTCTTTGTAAAACGTCTTGTCTTAAATTTTTTGTAGAAATTCGATACTCATCTGCTGATCAGATTTTCGAAATATAATTTTCAAATTAATACCATTTTATTATCTATTAAAAGGTCTTGCTGGACACGTTCACCTACTATAACCGTGTCACTACCGACTTCAAAGTTCACGAATACACATAAATATATATCAAAATCACAATTTCAGAGCATGAAAATAGCAGCAGAATAACACAGAGTGATTTACTTTTGTGGATTCTGTTCTTTTTATCAACTACAGATTTCTATGAATAATTCCTATTAATGAACTAAGTTTGATTGGTTGTATGAAGCTAAAGAGATCCAATAAAAGTTTTTTCATGCTTTCTCCGATTTTTATGTTTAATTTTTTGATGGTATCGATTAGGAATGAAGGGAGGATACTGTGTGCTTTATTGTGGATCTTCTGTGAACGCCTTCCTTATTTTTCCGATACTCACTAACTTTGACACCTTCATATGTGTAGCTTGTAGTTGAAACATTGCTGTCTTACTTGGTAAATGAATGAAATGATATACTTTGGATTTTTCTTGTTGATCTTCATTGATGCTTACTGCTTTTGGCTGAGCAAATTCATCAGTTTTGTCTTCTTTATATTCACCTGAATTTTTTCCTTTACTGCCTGGCTATTGGTTTTCCTTTTTCATCGAGTTCTGGATATGTAAGACATCAACCATATTTGAAATCCCGATATTCTAGGGTTTTTTGCCTGCCCACAGTCTATCACATGATCTAGTCCACCAAAATCAGATTGATGTTAATCAGCAATACGAGGTAAATTATGTGACGAGAAATTTTAAAATCGAAGTCAATTAAAATGATCAATGCAGATGTAAAATGTTTACCGAGAGATGCATTTGTATCACTCATGGAAAATTTAAGTCAGTTTACTTTACGCTAAAAAACTGTGCTGAAGATGTTGTCCAGATGGACGACGAAAGCTCTGCAACTAAACCAACCAGCTCAGAGAACACTACTAATTGTAAATACTAGGTCGTCTTTGCTTACTCCGGTCTTTCTTTCAAAGGCTTCATTGGGCTTTTCTCTGTTAGTTATTTGGCATTTAGAATCTTCATGGGACTGTCGAGTAAGGTTTATAAATGTTTGCAACAGCTGCCAGATTACTTGATGGCAATCACTGTCAAAGGTCTTCACGAAATGCAGGAAGCAGCGAAATGGATTTGTATGTTATTCTTTACTCTGTTTGTGGATGATGCACACTGTGGCATTTTAATCCATCATGATTCGTTTTTCTCAAATGCCTACACTGGTTCATCTTCTGCCTCACTATCTTTCTTCTTCTATCAGCTACGGCAGGTTCACAGCGAGGCAATCTTTGTTTTGCCATTTCTTTCTTCCCAAAAAGTCTATACCAATTTTTCATGTCTCCCTCAGAGTTTTTCTTTATTCTTCCACGCAGGTTTCCTAGATAATGTTGCTTAATGCCCCAACACTGTCGCTAACTGCAGTAAAAATTGCCTTTGTATTTTTGTTCTTCAGTTTTTATGCTTTGATTCTTAACCATGGTCTATCTCAAACTTGTTGAGAGTCCACTGCCATACAGAGGCATCTGGACCTATATCTGGTTCTCTTTTTGATGTTATACCCAGTAAGCTTCTTTCACACTTTCTTAGAACTTAAATGAATTCTACTGAATTTCGAGACCATCTGTTCGACGAAAATCACATCACCTCATGGACATACTTGTTGTTGTATAGCATACCTTCAATCACTAAAATGGCTAAAAGCGAAGAAGTCTGCAATGATTCCTTCTTTCACAGTTATTCCATTGCGAGCCTCTCAACCAAAAACCAGTTCTCTTCCCTTGATCTGTACTTCCAGCTCAGCATTCATATTACCCTTTAGGATTTAGATGTCTTATATATAGATATATAATTGTTATTATTCCCTTGATTTCCAAATGCAGCACAGGGCTTCAACTGCATATCTCCTCTTCATCTTATCCACTGCTGTCCTGCATAGCTGACTACTTGACTGTCCATAGTCCCTGATATTCCCTTACACAACCTTTTCCATGTCACTCTCGGAAACACACCCGATATGCCATTTCCTGTTTGGGTCCCACTCGAGAACATGGCACGCGATGTCATTCGACGGCCTTCTAATAGTGTGCTCAATCAATCTTCATTTTCTTCGGCAGTGGACTATGGATTGGTTTGTTCTCATAGTTTCTTTGCTGCTAATCCTTTCTGGTCATTCGATCTTCAATTTGTAGCCTGATAAGACAGCTGCTGATAATATTCTGCAACCTGTTGGAAAGCCTTTCGTGACACGCCAAGGTTTCGACCTATATAGAAGAAATGGATTAACGCTGATGCTGAAAATCCATGATAACTAGGTAGGGTCCTATAAACTACTATTTACAGCCCTCTTCTGCCTGGCCTATGTTGTTTGTAGGTGTATAGTATGAAACAATTATTAGATATAGTGTTTTCACTTTGAATCTTGGTGTCTTAATCATGGAGAAGACTGAATTAATGTGTATGAAAACCTATGATGTTTTTGCTGAAATCACTCCATCTCTTCGCTCATGGTTGTCACCTCAATTAACGGAGTTGAATATTGACTCAGAAGTTAAAAATTTACAGAGAATGCAATTCTGTTTCATTTGCCATTGCGAATTCTTAACACATGTACACGGTATCTTTTCGTTCCTTGTACAGTCTGAAAAGCCTTTCCGGAAAGCCTCCCGTAGTGCACACATTTCATGTAATCATTGAAAGGAGACATATTGGTCATCTGACTTCTGGAGGACTATCACTTGTCAGTATCACGTGCCTTACAATTGAGGAGACTTCCTTCATCAAAGAGCACAGCTAGTTTATTTTACCCTGTCTTTGAAGTCTTTATAGGGAAGGTGTTATCTTCTATTGGAAGTGGGTTGCTAACCTTACGTACAGTTTTTCCAGGCCCAGGACCAGTAAATGAAAACCGGGCGATGTTCATGTGATAATCAAAATGTTACTGTCCAGTGCATATCATAATAAAAAATTCACAGTCTAGAAAAATTAAAATTTGAACAGAGTTCCTAGTTTATTTTTTCTCCTAATTTTTAAATGGCATTATTATCTACCCCACTTCTACTTAGTCTCTACCTGTAATTACCTCTGTTGCTATCCTGACCTAGGTTGCGACATTTTAGTCAATTATATTACGTCATCTAACTTACTAACTCAGTCTTACTTTGGTTGCTGTTCAATTAACCTTGTTTCTATATTAGATCATTCTTTTATTACCTGATCAATTATATAAACTTGACAAACCTCATGTACACACACACACACAAATAATTATATATAAATGCGATTGTACAGCTATGTGAATGAATCCGCCGGCGAAAAGAGTCTCTTCGCTGAACGTCTTCTCTTTTTCCTAATTTTTAGTTTTTTCAGTACACTATCTTTTTTACTGTAGATCCCCAGCACTTAGTATTTGATTTCACTCACGATATTCTCACTTATTAGTCTCCTAAAATCAAAATTTTACAATTATAATCCTTTATCAGATAATTTATTTTGTCTTTATTATTTCATTTCAGATAAGCAAAACAAAACCATATTTCAGGCGTTCAGCATTCGACAGGGCAAGTTAGCTATTTCTGAAATATTACTCTGCTCCCTCTGGAACATTTTCATTCATGTATACAACGAAACATTTTTCGTCAGTACTTAAATTTCAGAAATATTTTGCCAAGTTCAGGAGAAGAAATTATGCAAACTGTCACAGTATTTCTCCATAATCCCTAAAAAATTCAAAACCACTAACAAAGAACACTAATCAACAGCTTTTGTTTTCGAATTGTTGACCGCTTTTTTAGTTTTCACTGCCGTCATAGCTTGTGCAAGCTAGTGATGAAATACTGCCTTAAAATCTATTGACTTCAGACTATTCCACTGGGAGAGATGTGGGTCATAAAACAGCTTTGGACAGAGATTTTTTGACTTTGATGTTTGTCAAGTGATCAATAGTAAAGCCATATACTACTGGATGATTGGAATAAGTAGTTATATGCTATTCCCATCAAACAGTAGTGCCCGCTACCCGGATCGAAGTGATCAAAACACAAAACGACCATTACGCTGGTTTAAGGGATAGGCTCATGGCTAGTGTACTCGGCTTAACTCAGGTCAGCTCAAACTGCGTAGAATGCAAATTTGATATATCAATAAAACTGATGTTGGATATAGGATTTTCATCATGAGCTGACATTAGTTAGAGAACCATTGGAAAACCTGGGAGTACTGGACATCTGTTTCGTCCTAGTTTGGGACACTTCATCAGTGCTCACACACTGGGATTTGAACCCAGGATCTTATGGTTACAAGGCTAGCTGTCCAGTTCTCCCAGATTTTCCAATGGTTCTCTAACTAATGTCAGCACATGATGAAAATCCTGTAACCAATCAAATCCCTGCAAACCAACACTTGATGTTGGATATATCCAACTAATGTTTAGAGACTGTTACCGAGTTCTTGCTCTTGATAGCAAAACAATATTATGTAGAAAAAAAAGAAATGATAATAACAGCAACCAAACGGAAAGTACTACATCGTACTTTGTACTCACCGGTTAAGTGATCATAGTAAGTCAATTCAAACTTCACTATACGACCTTGTAGCATCTTGTTTGCCTTTAATAAAGAGTTGGAAAATATTTCCTAAGAATCCAAAAACAATTAGACAGTCATTTGTTCACCTCACAGAAAATACTATGGTCAACAACTTGGTCATATAAATGATGTTTGTGAAACTATAGAAGAGCATTATATTTTGATTACTTCTAAAATTGATTTTCGTTATCTTTCTTACTCAATTGGGTAAGTAGTATGATAAGTACTCAGTCGTATAAGAGATGTTCACAATAAGACGAGTTAATTATTTATTATTTGCAAAATGAATTGGTTTCTAAGAAAGAAAGCATACACTTTAACAGACAGTTGACGACTAATTTAATCTCACTTGATGCATCTTGGGAATGTATGAGCATTACTCATAAAAGTTAAAAATAAATACTTATTTTATGTCAAATACTGAACACTCTTTTTTTCAGAAGACTGCAGTGAACTTAATGTACAACACCAAACTTATAATAATTATCTATTTGTTTTCCTGTTTTCTTAACAGAATTCACGTACACCCTCACCAGTTAAACTATCACTCACACAACGGTTAAATCCATTTCCGTGTATATTCAAAGGAATTTCAAGGAGTCGTACAATGGAAAGCTTCAATTCTGAACAACTTCCGCCATTTGAAAAAAGTCAATTCATAGAATCTGAACAAAAAACAAGTCAACAAAATACAAATGAATACTTTCCTAAACCTTTGAATACTCAGACGAATATGTCGTCTTTAATGGGGCAAAACAACAAGGGGGATAATCAAGACAGTTTTGAAGTTTTTGGCTCACCAGCTAGTCAAAATAGTTCTAATGATTCAGGTATTACTACTCATTCATCGACTATTAATAAGAGATTTGCAACAAATCATCAAACAGTGAACAATGATTCAAATGCTTCAGAGTGGTCCCTAGGACCATCGGAATCTTTTATGATGAACCACAGCGGAAAATCCACTTCGACCACTCCACCTCTGCCACCGAAGCCAGTAAATCATCGGACAAGATGTTGTAATGGACTAAAAGATCAATATTTAAAGGCCAGTTCACATGACTCGTGTAACCATCAGTCAGTTGAGCCGCCAAGGCCACATCGTCGAAATCTGTCATGTTCTGAAAAAGATAAGAAATGTAGGTCAGAAAAGAGTGCATCACCTATTTTAGCACTTGATGCGAATGGTATATGTGAAAATAGGCAGAATGCCGTAAGATTCCAGGAAAATGCCAGTGGCCTTTCGCAGTGTGCAAATGGAAATGACTGTCCCTCAGACGATTCTACTCTTAGTGACTTTAAACCTGGAGATCACTTTGAAAGAGCTGAATCTAGTGATTCAGTAAAAACCACGGTCCCAGTTGATTGGGACAGCAAAACAACGAGTCATCAGCAGATATCAAATGCAGCAGGCATAGATGCAACGTATGACAACAACTATAGGCATTCAAACACAGAATATGACGTACCTGCTGATAATTCTATCGACAGAAGAGATTCAAGTCCTTCATCCCTTTTGCTTGATATATATGAAAAGCTAAAGTGTTTTAACAGGTCAAAAAGTCGTTGCTCCTCTCCTCAGAAGCCTCCGTTACCGTTAAATAGAACACAGGTAGCTAACATACAAAAGTACCAAGAGAGAATGGTCCAAACGGACGAAAGCTCCCGGAGCAGTAGTAGGGGATCACTTATTAACTCGCCTTCAAGAGGTTACCACGAAATGAATGGCGATTATGTGAGTAAGAGTGAAGTTAAATGCATTCTTATGAAATTAATACCAATTGTATGGTATTTCTAATTTTAGGTCGACATAATTACTGTGCTGGATGTACACTTCAGTATCATTTCACTGAACAGAGATGAATGACAAACATAATGTCGTAATTCACGACTCTTTTTCTGACTTGATAAGCTTACTGCTTATGTCCAATAAGAAAATTGAGGTTTTTCATGAACTACGCAAAAGACTAACTCTAAGCGGAGTCGACATATAGGAAAAATGGGTTTGTGTACAACGTGTTAAGAAAATAAACAGAAAATTAAAATTCCCTTTGTGCACTTTTAATCGTATTGTCGTTGATAAAATAAAGTCAAACAAGTATTAATATTCTCTTTGATTCCAAACGGAACATAGGGTTTCAGCAGCACATCTTCACTTTATCTTGTTCTCTACAGCTCTCATTAGCCAACTCATAAGGTCTCATCATCTCCTCACATCTACATTTTCTTCGTCATATTTCTTGAGAAACAAGTTCTTTGTTAGTTTGTTCTCATAGTTTCTGGCCATCTGACCTTTCGCATGGAACAAAACCACTTGTTGATGAGTTTGCAGATTGAAGGAAATACTTTCCCTGACACTTCAAGTTTCTAAACCGTGCAGAAGCAATGACTGTATTACCATGGGTGTTGAAAATCCGAAATCTGCTCTTTATTCTGACTACAAAAGATTTTAAAACTGAATTGAGAGTAATGAAAGTTTATCTTGCCCTTGATAACCTCATCTGTGCCTACTGTTATTTGAAACGATGATATCTAGATAAGAGGAAGTAGTGAGCTTCAAATTTCCCTCGTCGATAGTGATTGATGTTTGTTTCTGTTAGTTAGCTATCTTCACTGTTCACTTGAAGTCCTGTCTCCTCTGCTCTTTCCATCAACCCGCTGGTTTTCAAATGTAGCTGCCAACCGTTGATGGTACTTCTGGGCGAAATGCAGTTGGTGGTTGATTCAAAAGTCCTTTGAAATAATCAGCCCATTGTTTTATTTGTCTTTCCTCTTTGATGATTGGATTCCCTTAAATACCTTTTATTGGTTTCATCCTCATTCACCTCTTTCCGGATTGGGACTTGGTTATCTGATATGGTATTTTGAAGTCTTTTTTAACTGCGGCCTATTCTGCGTCAATTGAATTGTAGAACTGACTTTTGTCTTTCCTAGTACTCTTCTTCACTTCCTTATTCAGTTCGCTGTAGACTGAACACTACCTCTCTTTTTGTTGTTCCTTTTTGTATTGGTTCATCTTCTGTTACACCATCCCTCTCTTCTCTTTTAGTCTCTATGTGTCCCTAGATAGTCAGTTTTTGCCTTGCTTGTTCTTCCTTCCCTCTAGCATCACTTTTGAAGTTTTTCCACAGTAGTTTCATCACTTATGCCACATAGTATCCCCACCTTTGATCTGATACCTTCAGTGAAGGCATTCCTTGTAGTTCAGTCCTCCGGTTTTCGAGTACTAAACTTTACCTGTGATCTATTTCCAGTTGCTTTCAAAGCTCTCACTTTGACTGTGAAGCTTTCTTGTACTAGATAATAGTCTGGGACCACATTTACGCCCCTTCTCGGCTTTGTATACCGCAGGCTGCGTCTTCACTTTCTTACGAGTGAGGTGAGGTTTATCTGATTTTTAGTCTGTCCGTCAGATGAAATTCAGGTTGCCTTGTGTTTATCCTTCTGGTTGTAATCACCACCTGCAATCACCAAATGACTGAATGCACAGAAGTCTGTGCAGAGTTCTGCATTCTCATTCATGTCACTGGCAACCTCTCGACTCATGACGAATTCTCTCGCGTATATTGTCTGCTTTCAGTTCAGCATTCATATCTCCTAAAAGGATTTTGATGTCGCCATTTAGGATATTATTCACTACTGTTTGCAGTTGTCAATAGAAATCTTCCCTATTCTCTTGTTGTGAATTTTTTGTGGAGTATAATTTTGGATAATTGTAAATTTTCTTCCTTTCGAGTTGAATGCTGTTGTCATTATTCCGGAGGCGATTGGTTCTCACTGTATAATCTCTTCAGTTGTTGCCGGTTAAATTATAAAAGTGAATGCCTGAATGTGTTCGTGGCTGTCGTCTGGATGAATGTTGGCTCTCCAGTAAACAATCTGGAAAGTTCGCATCCATTCCATATGCTCTCGCAGATTCCTAGCACTTCTTTGCTACATCTCATTTCTTTGGTTGCCTGAGCAACATTTCTAGCCTCAAACATAGTTCGAACATTCCATGTCAATGTGCCTATTTTTGCTTTCAACGTAAAAAATATATCGATTGATGGACTTCCCGAATGCCTTCATCAGTATGTGTCATTCCGTCTCTCCGATTCCAAAGAAGAATAAGTTTTCTTAATTTTTGTTATACCTTGAATTTTATGTAGCGGTTGTATTAGTTTTCTGGGGTAGGGTCACTAAACCCCCACACCTAACTTTCCCTCTATCTTGGATCGGGACTGGCTAGATAACCAGCAAATTGAAAAAAGATATTAAACATTAGCAGTAGAAGAGGACCAAGATGTTAACTTTCACCTTGCGTAGCCGAGATTGAGGAATGCGAAATAATCCTGCAGAAAAACTGACGAACAGTATTAATGACCATTTTGGAGAGTAGAGGTAGACTGTGCTGAAGATTTTGGATACTATCTACTGAGATGTACTACGGGCGTGAGAAACAGTGTGTTTCGAGAATGTTTACTGAAAATTCGTGTACTTCGATCATTTCTTTCTCAAGCAACTGTCCCATTTAAAATCTAATGGAGGGACTGAGTGAAAATACTTCCCCTGATGTACCCCTTACTTGGTTTTAAGCATTCGCTAGCCTTGATTCTCTGGATGATACGCAATAAAAGCCCGCCAAAAATTAAAAAAATAATATGAAGGATGTGAACTAGGGGCTTTGTTAACATATAGAACTAAAAATAATGTATCACTATTCCTATTTTCTCACAGCAATAAACAAATACTATATGGTGTCCACTAGTGCCTGGCTGTATACAGATATTATACATAGTTTCAGTGGGAAGTCCTGACCAGCTCAGTCCACCAGGTCAGTTAAGAGAACAGTTACTTGCCTACGGCGGTGACAAGTTAATATATATATATATATATGACGAATTCTGAGAAGTTGGAATTTATAGGCCATTAGATTCTGTTCCTATGTCTGAATGACCCATGAGCTCACCTCATAGCCTGCCGGTCCAGGGTTCGAGTTCTAACGGATGTTTGCTTTGAAGGGTCCCAAAAAAGGACGAAAAACTGTAGGATAATCCCCGGTTTTCCATTGATCCTCAAACGGATATCATTTTGTGATCATACCTGCAACCAACCAAACACCCGCAAACCAAAACTTAAAAAATTCTATGAAAAACGTAGAGAATAACAAAATATTTTTTGGGTAGCCGATAGTATAAGACGATTCGTTGTTAAATGTACTGTCTATATTTTCATAAGATAACTATTAAACAGCAGATTATTGCTAGATTTCATTAATTTTAGTATTTATAAATAAATGGAGGTGCAAGTAGATAAATGTTTTATTCCATTCTATTCCACTAACTTTCAATAATTTGCTTCATTTATTCATTAAACAGGATGCATCATTTAACGATCTTTTCCATGTTAAAACCCCTACAAATGAAATGAATTCACATGCTTCTCCATGTCGAATGTATTCACCAACTAGCAATACTTTATCTGCAAATATTAACAATGATTCAAGCAAATCGTGGAGAGTTAGAGAAGGGAAAAGTTGTGGTAAGTTTATTATACGCGCCACTTTTTTTTCGCTTCACGTCTTCAGAACTGTACGCACAGCAAACAGATATTAAACGAGACTTACGCCTAACTGAAATACTTATGCTTTTATTCGTTTTAAAGTTTATGCACTATTTGATGGATAGATAAAAATAGATAAAATGATAGACAGGTAGGAATAAGACAGACTTTGTCTGGTTCACACTTTGTGTTCTGGCTAGACTACCAGCCGCTTCTTTTACACGTTATTTGAAATGTAAACCAAAATTCAGAAATGTGTGATAAACCACCGTGTAAAACGTAATGTATGACATTTTGTGGCAAACCGGATATTTATTTAAATTACCCAGTCTGTATCTGAAGCTAGTCTCAGATAAATTATTCATACACGTAAAATACTCAAATGTTTCACCAAAACTACTTTTGAACCAGAAAAGGGATGAACTGCACAAAGTGAAATAGTATTATTTACCATTATTGTTATCGTTATTATTATTCTAATGAGTTCCTAGTAGAACCTGTGGCTTCATCAGCACGTCTCCGTTTCAGTGTATTTTATGTAGTCGTTTTTGTCTGGTTATACATTTATCCATAACCTTCCATTTTCGCCTCAAATGCTCCTTACCATGTCACTCTCCCATTCGGATTTTACTTTAACTGCTGAGGCTCGGTCTTGTACAGTGGTCTACTTTGTGTATTTTCAATCCATCTCCATTCCGTTCAGTATATTCACTAGGCAATAGGTTTTTGGTTGACTTGCTGTCAGAGTTTTTTCTTAAATATCCTTTCCTGTAGCCCATCTGTATCGAGCCGGTGTAGGCAGCTGTTGGTAGCAGCCTACAGTCTGTCGGAAATGCTTTTCGTGACAAATCAAGTCTCTGGCCCCTGTAGAAGCACTGATTTGACATTAGTGTTAAAAATTCGATTCCTTTTTATTATACTGGGGCCATCATACATACACAGACTGATTTCAGAATAATGAAGATATGTATATCTTTTACGCCTTTGCCTTCGACATCCTCATCTGGGCCGCCTTCAGGAGAAACGACACTACTTAGATAGTTGAATGATATAATTATTTTTAAATTTCTCCTCTTATTAATGATTAGTACTTCTTGTTGTTGTTGGCTAGATGTCTTCATCCTTTCTGTCTTCTCTATGTTTTACAGGATCTAATCATGAGCTGACATTGGTTAGAGAACCATTGGAAAACCACTAAGGAGTACTGGACAGCTGTTTCGTCCTAGTTTGGGACTCTTCAGCAGTACGCACCCACTGGGGTTCGAACCCAGGACCCTCTGGTTACAAGGCGAGCTAGCTCGTATACCATTGAGCCACTGGAACCTGATCCAATGGCCAGTGCATGAATTTTAACTTCTGCCAATTTACGACATAGCGCGGCCCCCAGCCGATTGTCTTCGGCGAGTATTTGTCCTCACACTCGACCTCATGCACCCTACTGGTCACGACTTCTTAATGGTATACTAGCTCGCCTTGGAATTAGATGGTCCTGTGTTCGAACTCTGGGGTGTGTGTGCTGGTGAAGAGTCCTAAACTAGGACGAAACAGCTGTCCAGTACTCCTTAGTGGTTTTTCCAATGGTTCTCTAACCAATGTCAGCTTATGCTGAAATCCTGTAACCAATCAACCAAATCCCTACAAACCAACACTTGAATATTCTTTGTTTTATTTAAAGTTCAATCTTCTCTGAGACTTCTGTCAAATTGTCTGTAGATATCCCAGTTTTTGTGAAAGTATTGCATGTTAATTAATTATTTATTAGCCACTTAATAAAACTGCTTCATTGTATGATGAATCTGATATACATATCAATAAAGAATTTCATACCCCCAAATATTTGAATTTTACATACATACATATAAACTTCACATATTCTTCCTGATTTATGCGGTTTACTTTACTGGTATTGTAAGCAAAAGAAAGACCGATGAGGCTCGAAGGAAGGAATGTTTATTAGGACAAACCATTGTTGTAGGCACATAAATTTGGCAAACATAATCTTTTTGTTGTACTACTTTTCTGAATTCGCTTACTGATATACTACTTTTACCTGACTGTAAGTAGCACTCACCACAGTATGTGCTATTTGTTTTCTACAATTTCAATCATGCGCCTAAAGGCCATTCCACCGATGCAGGTCAATGCGTCTGTGGTTAAAACTCAAAGATAAGGCTTATTATATCATTCCTGAAGGAATACACACTGTTTTACTGTTACTCTTTGTTTCATGTTTTGTTACATTGAACAATGACACTATTTGCTGAATAATGTTCGTGATTTGCTTAAAATGCTGCTATCATACCAACATAATCATTCATTTGTAGACTTAAATATTCTTCAAACAAATCAATTACCTGTTTAAAGAAGAACTGTTAGTTTATAAGTTCATTCAGCTATTAAACTTAATGACTGTGACTTTGCTAAGCCTAACACTTTGATTGACACTGGCAGACAAACTGAAGCATTTGGTTCCATTTATAAATTGTAATAAAATAACAAGAAGCATGCAACGTATTTTTAAAAATTTTCTATTCTGATAATCACAAATTTACTTTCCGTATTCAAAAATTTACCCAGACAACTGATGTCTAATTAATAGTGGGAAATATTCCCATATCATGAATTAAAAGTTAGTCAGAATGAAGAATATTCTATTCAGTGATTTCTCTTCAGGTTCTCACAATTATAAATTATAAGATTTTTTGTCGTTACAATAATAGCCAGTTATGCGGCGATATATTTTTATGTAGAGTAACAGATTTTTAAGGGGTGACAAAATAAATAGTATCTGTGTTGCAAATGTGCTAGGCTGAATTCAATTACAAAATATTGAGGGATGGGAGGCAGTGGTGGTGATTAATCATAACAGATTCGTAGAATATGAGGTGGGATAACTCAACAAGTCTGATCAAAGTTATAATAGATGTGAGGTACCAAGTATGTCATAAGGAGGAGATAGTAATTTTTAGTGAGAGGTTCACCATAAAATAACCAGTAGGTGAAATAAAACTGGCGCAGTTATATAATGAGGAAACAGACATTATCACTAATAAGTCAGGATAATAAAACCGGAAAATTCGATAGTATTGAAAGAGTGTTTGAATGACGGGTATAAATTATAACTAATATTAATAACTTTAATAAACGGCAAAGCAAAACAAGAAAAACCAAAGAAGCATAAAAGGAAGAGATTCTCTTGGTTAGAAGAAGAGACTTTAATACAATTTTCGCCATATCAGGGACAGCGTCTGAACGTGTGACTTTTTGGATACAATGTACCTGTTTAGTCGAACCTATTGTTGCATCCTCGGCTATATGTAGGAGACGTAAGCGAATTGTACACAATAGCAACTTCGGAATGTGATCTTTAACCCTGAAGGCTGCGTCGACGTCGACGTGATATCCAGTATCGAACAAGTGTGACGGAATCGAGCTTTATTTGCTTTTCATTCCCCCTTGCTAAAACAAGCTGGTAAATGCTCTTGAACCCGTGGACGAACCCGAGCATAATTGTCCGCCTTAAATTACTTGATCTGACTTGTCGAGTCTTCCCACCTCACATTCTACTAATCTGTTATGACTGATCACCTCCACTGCCTTCCGTCTCTCGATATTTTTTAACTGAATTCAGCCTGGCACGTCCGTCACACAGATAATATTTATTTTGTTACCCCTTAACTAATCTGTTATTCTACGTAAAAAAATGTATCACTGCATAACTGGCCATTATTGTAATGACAGTGAATACTTTACTTTATAATTGTAAGAAGCTGAAGGGAAATTATTGAAAAGAACATTCTTCGTTCAGATCAACTTTAGCATGACTAAGGCAGCAGGCTGACCACAGTTTTCTCTGATTTAGCATTGTTGGATAACAAGGGTGGTTACAAATTAGCGCCAATATTTTCTTCCAGATTGAACCGTTCCCAACAAAACTGTTTTGCAACCTTACTGAAATACTGAATAAAGTGTAGTGATCAGACGTCCTTACTGCCACACCAACATGTGAGTAGTATTTACAGCTCATTGCATTACTGGTATTTTCTTTATTTGAATAGACTTTAATTTATAGTCTTTTCCGATAATTTATTTTCTGGCTGTTCTAGGCAATTATTAACATGTACGAGGAGTAGTCAAATAATAAGATGTAAGGTGATTTGTTTTAAAAGACTGCGGTATGGTATTTAATTTATAAACTTTTACTTTACTTAACTTTACAAGATAAGCCATCGTTAAAGTTCGTCTGGAGATAGATATTATATTCCAAAATGTTGAAGATTCCTTAAATTAACATTTCCACCCCCTAATTATTGAAGTAGTGTTATGTAATAGGAAAATTATACAGCTGTTGTAGAGTCATTCTTTGGCCGAATATTTAGAAATTTTCGTTTTCGTGACAAATTTTCTTTTTCATTAGAAACATTCACTTCAAATCACAGTGATGAAGATTTCAGTTCAGATAAAAAGCATCAAATCATGTCAAATGGTGTTCATAATTTACAGAATGGTAATCACAATACACAGTCTTCTCTAATGGTTGCTTCCAATCTGAACGACTCAGATGTGAATGTGTCCAGTGTTTCACGACAAAATATGCTTACCTTAGCAGCTGAAATACCAACACAGTTAAATATATCCCAACAGTACGGAATGCAGCTTAATCTATCACCAAATTATTTTATTCCCAATAATATTTTGCCACTTCCTTCTCAACAGCATTCACCCACACAAGTACAAAAGCTTTTCACTTATAATTTTGAAGCTAGGCGCAATTCAACCAATAGATTGTCTTCATCAGATGTTTCTGCCATGGGTGATGAAAATATAGTCTCACTGAAAGAAAATGCTCTAACTAATACAAAATCAGCAAACAGTTCATCAAAGAAAACAAATCATAAAGGAGCTAATATCCTAGTACATGGATGTACGAAAACACGTGCCACAGCTTTTAATACAGACTACTTTGAATCCTATCCAACGCTTTTTGATGTTTTACATCACTGTGATATATATCGTGTATTGTTAGATCCAAATCTTCCAAGTTTAAGTGATCAACTTGGCCTACGTTTATGCTTAACTAAATTTCCTTTGGATGATGTACAACGAGCTGATACTCTTCAAAAACTACAATATAGTGATAGGTATGGTAAAAAAGATTCAAATGAAAGTATCAATTCTGCTCACTCGAGTAGTCGCTTAAATAATTCAAAATCACGAGTGAGATCACCTAATAGTGGTACCTTCGTAACACTAGATATGCAACAAGCGGAATCATCATTTGATGTCGTAACTATTGAAAGCATTGAACCTGATTCACCAGCAAGTTTTGAAGGTAGTTTAGCACCAGGTCATATAATATTAGAAGTCGACGGTAAAGACTTACTCCGTCCTTATTATCTAAAAGATGTACATGGAAATCGGATGAATGTTCTTGATGTTGCGCGAAATCAACTTCGAAATGCTCGTCAGGCGGCATTAACTAATGAGATTCCACCTATTCGTATCACAGCAGCTCAGTATCATTCAAATTTTGGTTCAGCTAATGCTGCAAATAATCTGGAACGTTTCAATTCATCGATACGTTCTAAAAATGAAGCGAATAGGAGAAAATACTCCTTATTGAACCACCAGACAATGAATAGTATAAGCTACGAGAAGCAAAACTTGACCAATGGTGATTTACCAGTAAGTTATATCGGTTTTAATTACCATCGTTACTATTAACTTACGATAGTAAGTTAATAAATTTTCATTGATTTGATGCATTGGTAAGTTTAGTATGTCTCACTTACACTATAATAATGGTTCAGTGGGATAAACTATCATATATATTTAAAGCAATTGGTTCCCTTTATGAATTTCGACAAAACAATAAGAAGACGTAGTTTATCTGAAACGTGCAATGTATTGGCGCAACACATTTCGGACATTCTGATCACACACGTACTTGTCATACACAGTTTTTATATAAGGCAAGAAAGCATGAATAATTACAATACAGGTCAGATTGTGTACAGGTCAAGGTCACAAAATAATGGGTAGGGAGACGCAAAAGGTGTGGGTAAGAAAGATAAAGAGAGGAAAGAAAAGGCAAAGAAGGGGTTTGAAAATATTATGAAGTAAAATTGGTCCTTGGTTCTAAGTTGGATTACCAAGGCAGGTTTAAGGTGATAACAAATAACTTTTGGACGCGTAAGACAGGTTTAAGTCTTTTAATGATTACGGCTTCAATGAATTTAAGTATGTGACCCAACCCTGTCTTATATATCGGCTTAAAGGCATTGTTAAAATCAACTTTATAACCTGTCTCTATAATATGCTTCGTTATAGATGATGTTGGACATCTATTTCCGGGGGCAATTGTATCTAGCGATTTCATTATCCGAACGATAGTGTCCAATCCCACTGTGTTTATCAATTTACATGTATGTGTGGAGACACGTACATAGGGAGGACCCATCAGTCTCTGCATCTTAGGGCTACAGAACACATTCCAAAGTGGCTGCAACAAAAAATGAAATCGCCAGATACAATTGACCCCGGAAATAGATGTCCAACATCATCTATAGCGAAGCATATTATAGAGACGGGTCATAAGGTTGATTTTAACAATGCCCTTAAGCCGATATATAAGACAGGGTTGGGTCACATACTTAAATTCATTGAAGCCGTAATCATTAAAAGACTTAAATCTGTCTTATGCGTCCAAAAGTTATTTGTTATCACCTTAAACCTGCCTTGGTAATCCAACTTAGAACCAAGGACCAATTTTACTTCATAATATTTTCAAAACCCTTTCTTTACCTTTTTTCCTCCCTTTATCTTTCTTACCCACACCTTTTGCGTCTCCCTACCCATTATTTTGTGACCTTGACCTGTACACAATCTGACCTGTATTGTAATTATTCATGCTTTCTTGCCTTATATAAAAACTGTGTATGACAAGTACGTGTGTGATCAGAATGTCCGAAATGTGTTGCGCCAATACATTGCACGTTTCAGATAAACTACGTCTTCTTATTGTTTTGTCGATATCCTATATATAGTACTTATGAACCTCTGTGACTTCAGGTAACTTCAGCATTTTTCATAGATCAAATGCAACAGTCATAAGTGAATAATGGTCCCGGCATATATGCCTTTTGCATTTATGTTAATTCCAACAAGCTTTAAAATAATCAGGTACCTTTTTGAATCTGGACGAAATAATAAATATATATGATAAGTACATGTATGATCAAAATGTCCAAAATATGTTGTGGAAGTACTCTGCACGTGTTAGATGAATTACGTATTCTCATCGTTCTGACAAGCTTTCCAACTCGACAAAATGATATCTGTGCATACTTCACAAAACAGAAATGCATAAAACCGACAAAAGTATTTGATCTCTCCGGGGTAATGAAAACGTTTCACTACTTGGCATGTCAATATTACTGTTTTTAATCTTGTTAAAAGTTAAGGCGAACAATATTCTTTTCAATTAGATCTTCAGGCTTTACTCTAATTTATATAGATTTATATTTAAAAATTTTTAACCAATGACGGTGATTTTGGGGATCAAATAATAGCGATGTGGTTAAAGTTTTGAACGAATTTAATAACGATGTTTATAGTTTTCTAAAGTTTTGGTCTGTAAGGGTTAGTTACGTTTTTATGAGTTGATCACGAATTGATATCAGTTAGCGAACCATTGAAAACCAGGGAGTACTGGACAGCTGCTGTTTCATCCTGGTTTCGGGAATCACCGGTAGTTCGCACCCAGTGTGATTCGAAACCCAGGACCTTCCGGTTACAAGACAACCTCGTACTGCCGATGATTCCCGAAACTAGGATGAAACAGCAGCTGTCCAATACTCCTTGGTTTTCAATGGTTCTCTAACTGATATCAGTCCGCGATCAACTCGTAAAAACATAACTAACCCTTACAAACCACAACTACAGAAAATTAATCTGATGCTCGCTAGTGACTTGCTACAGGTTGGAGTTTCCTGGAGTTCTAGTGAGAAGTCGTGACCAGTGAGGTCCAATTAGATGTCACGTGTGTGGATGGATGTCCCACCAACGACAGTGGTTGGGGTCGCGCCAAATCACGAATTGGTAGAAGTTAGAATTCATGAGCAATTGAATCGGGTCCCAGTGGATGATTTCAGTGATAACAAAATATTGATAATGAGGTTTATGCAGGTGATATGAATAACAAAGGTAGTATATGTATATATGTGTATATGTAGACAATTCAATAAATAAATAAATTAGGTAAAATCTTTAAAGGTGAAATAGAGCGATATTCAGACTTTAAATAAATATCATAAAAGTACGAAGGAAATGGAAGATAAGAAAGGATGGGACGGTTTTGAATAGAATTCACCTAGGCCAAGGGAGAGACAAAGGTAGAACAAACTTCTTTTGTATGCAAAGACTAGGATTGTTCTCTCAAATTCCCATACCTTCGGCTAAGTGTAAAAGACGGGTTCTGATTCCGTTCGAAAGACTCGGTGGAATGCGATAGATAACTTTCAAGGCTCTATTTTGTCCACTTGGTGATCGCTATCAATCAAATGAGCCAAAATAGAACTTCGTATGGATTTTATTTGACCTTTTCCGAACCTTGTAGGAAGTTGCTCAATAATGCGTTTGTTAAGCTGTCTAGTTGTTCGCCCTATATAGCTTTCTCCGCAGGAGCAACTAAATTTATAAATACACATCGAAGTGGCACAGCTAGGTAGCTCATCTTTCACTTGAGCAATCAAAATTGGTCGGCTGGAAAAAGACAAACAAATGGTGGTGGCAGTATAAGTCCGTTTGATTGCTCTCGATAATCTCAGATGTAATACTACGCTGGCCACGTCCCCACTTTTATACACAAATCTATGTAAATTAGAGTAAAGCCTGAAGAAGATCCAATTGAAAACAATATTGCTCGCTTATATGTCTTGTTCTAAAAGTCAAGGCATCTTCAGTTAGTATCAGTTGGTAGGTGTCGTTATATTTACAAAATACCCGGCGGAAGCCCTATGTTCCTCTAGGAATTAAAGGAAATAATAATAATATACAAAGTACTAGCATAGGAAAGAAAATCTTCACAAACGTCAGGTTCACCATATTATTATTATTGTTCAGTCACTAAATCTACAATGGTCCTGATATATCTTAACACCAAATACGTAATTTTGTCTTACCTCTTTCCTCTTTGTTTGTCTATTTCTTAATTGCATTATTTTCTACCCCCACCCTCTATTAAATCTCTACGCTCATAACGACTGTTGCTAACTCGATTTTCGTTTATTTTTAAGTGAATTCTACTCAGCTTATTAACTTAACTCTCATTCATTTTCAAGTGAATTCTATTCAGATTATTAACTTGACTCTCATTCATTTTTTCATTGAACCCTACCAACTAGATTACGTCACCAAACTTACTTTTGTAACTTTATTTTAGTTTCTAACCGATTAACACCTTCTAAATTACGTAATTTGTTTGTCAAAAATTACCAATTGCATTAACACATCTTTGGAAATATTCCTTTTGTTGCCAAGACAAATTACTATAAATTTGCAATTTGTACAGCTTGAGAATGATATCGCCGAAAAGAGTAACTCTTTGCTGAACACCTTTTGTTTTCTATGACTGAATGGGTATTTTCAAGTTACTTTCACCATATTGGTTTGTTTATTAGCTGTATCACACAGTGAAACAGTATTATTTACTGGATGACTTTTCGAACAGAATTTATTGTTCATAATCATATCAGTTGTAATCACACGACTTTGAAACTTCAGTTTCACCGCTTATAAGTGATGACTCGTTGCAGTATTCATCCAGTCGGTTAACATTACGTTGGTTGATGAATGACTGCACTTTTATAAAGTAAAATGTAAGTTGTGTTTATAATAAACACGTCTCCTGGATACCATGTTTTGAAGTTTAACAAATTTAAATTGTTGCTAGTTAATTTTGTGTCGTTTGGCAAATATTTTTAGGTAGTTGAATCACACGACGAAAATATTAATCAAACACATGAAAGTAATCAATTATCGAGAAAGACTTCGGAAGAAATTGATGATTCAAACAGTAAATCAGTCTCTGAGTTAACAGACTATAGTGAAGATGGAGTCAATTCTTTAAAAAGTAAACTGATATGGTTTCCACATCGTAGAGATGAATACCCATCCCAATCACCATTTGATCCCAGAAGTCATGAATTTTTTGTAAATCTATGATGCCAACTGTCAGTCATTGAATGCTGATACCAAATATTATCTTCCTTCATTCAAAAGAGAAATTTTGAGAATCATCAAAAAACGGAGTTGAAAAATTTGTTAATTTCTTGAAAAAAGAATTTTAGTATTACAATAAGGTGTACAACTTTTATTTCCTGTTATAATACTATCAGGCTGTTTGTGTATAATGGTTTTGTTTTGAACAGTATTACTTAATTGAACAGCGTCACTTGTGAACCAGTGTAAATCATTGTGGTGATGCTATTTATATACTTACTACTGATCAATTTTAAGTAGCTGGAAACTGCTGAGTAGTGGTTGATAACCAAGTAAATAAGATTTGAAATTGTGTAATCGAAGCTGTATTAGACAAATGTCTTTTATTATCTTCCAAATATACTTTCATAACAATCATTGTTAAAAGCCTGTTGGGATCCACAAAACTGTAGATAAGTTCATGTACAGAACGATTTTAATATACTTGTACAGTTAACATGATGCCAATTGACAAGAGGCTCCAAACTTAATGGACAGTGCTCAGAAAATTACACACATATATATATATATATATATATATATATATAGTTTTTACCAAATGAGTTCAAGTTTAAACAAAGTAAATTTTATTCATACAATGGTAAAGGACGATGAGTAACTATGTAGTGAGTTATACTACACCAGTGTATTACTACTTCGATAAAGTTTAGCTTTGCTTTTCTCCTGTTTCTATGATTTGGGCTGAACTAACTATATTTTTTACACAGATTACTAGTGACTCATCATCTTACTCACCTCGTGTCCCTATTACGTAACTAGTTTGCGATTGTAAGCACACATTGATTTTTGTTTAAACTTGAACGCCTTTGAGTAAAATCTATGTAAGTGTAATTTTCTGAGCATTGTTCATTCACTTTGATGCCTCCTGTCAACTGCCATCATGTTAACTTTACAAATATGTTAAACTTGTTCTGTCCATAAACTTAGAAATTTCTTGAGTCTGTATTCAGCTGATGGAAAGCCAATGAAATTAATGTTAGTACCATTTTATTCTGCATAAACTGTTGGTTGTTCTTGCTTTATTCAAATTTATTCAAAGGAATAAATCTATGAAGTATCATATTTATGAAGTTATATTTGTAAAATCTCAGCGAAATTGAAATGATTAATTCCAACGTTTCGTTCGGCAATCTGGTCCGAACTTCTTCAGGGAAATTAGTCGAAATTAACATAACAAAGTTTATATATAAAGGGACACATCTTGTTTTTAAAATTCTTGTCCAATCATGAATCATGCAACAGGTATCAACATGTATCAAACATAAATAAATAGAATTGTATGTTTATACAGAAGTACAATAGTACAAACAATAGGTATGCTAAACAAAACAAAACAAAAACAAAAATTGTATGAACTATGATCAAAAAACTTTTGACCTCAGGCTTTCAAAATTTGTCTACTTTTGTTAAAATATATGTGTGTATGCAGTATATGCAGGATACAATGGTGTGTGTGTATGTGTGTGTGGGTGGGTGGAGCAGTCATAAAACATTTGCTATTCTCATATGAGTTGTGATCAAGATTTGACCGGATAGTTTCAAAATAATTGACATTTTTATAAATATAATTTAATTTTTATAGATTTGATATTCTCTCCATAAGAAAACGTAGACAGTCGGGAATTTGACTAAGTGTGACTACTTGATCATACATATCAAATTTTACTTTGTTTATTAGTCAGGATTTGCCATGCATCGGCTAACATCACACCTTCACGTCTGTTTAAACTGTTGGGATTCACCCATATATGTAGGGCTTCTGCAGTTAATCTTTCTTGATATGAACCAAAACCTTTTTGTAAAACCTTAGTCTTATCAAAGTCGATTTTGTGTCCCGTTTCTATTGAATGTAGTGCAATCGCTGAGTTGTTTTCTAGCTTCTTCAAGTCTGCAGAGCTCTTTGGAACCACCTTTAGACATTGTTTATGCTCTTTCATTCTTATATTTACCTGTCTAGAAGTTTCTCCTACATATACTGCGTTACAATCCCCACAATTGATCTGGTATACACAATTCTGCTGGTTTTCTTGTTCTATTTTATCCTTAACCTTCACCAGCAATGAACGTAAGGTGTTAGATGCACGAAAGTACACTCTTATATTATGTTCGTTAAGGATTCGCTTTATTTCATCAGATGTTTCTTTGCGATAAGGAACCACCGCTGTACTAACCCAATTCTTAGCAGCAGGTTTTGATTCATCCTTAACTTCACATTTCAAGTATCTTTTTATGAAGGCTTTAGGATAATTATTTAATTCAAGAGTGGATTGAACTAATTTTAGTTCCTCGTTAATATCTTCCTCCTCAGTAACTAGACGTTTGGCTCTGTTGATCAGATTCTTGGCCACAGTTACTTTGGTGGTAAATGGGTGAGCTGAATGGTAATCTAGGTATCTATCCGAATTTGTCGGCTTTCTGAAAATGTTTATTTTAAATTTGCCGTCTAATTTCCTTTTTACTAAACAGTCCAGAAACGCCAACTCATTTTCATCGGATTCAACCTCTTTGGAGAACTTGATGGTTTCTGACATATTGTTTATTAACTGAAAAAGTTCATTTAACAAACTACGTTTGATTATGATGAAGGTATCATCTACGTATCTTAACCACATCTTTGGGGGACTAAGGCATCTCATAATTGCATTTGTTTCTAATGAGTGCATAAACAGATTGGCGACTAGCGGAGATACTGGTGATCCCATAGCAATGCCTCCTATTTGACGATAAAGTACCCCTCTGAACGTAAATAACGTGGACTTAAGACACAGTTCTAATACCTTCATAATTTCGTCGGGATTTAAAGGACAACGATTGTATAAACATACAATTCTATTTATTTATGTTTGATACATGTTGATACCTGTTGCATGATTCATGATTGGACAAGAATTTTAAAAACAAGATGTGTCCCTTTATATATAAACTTTGTTATGTTAATTTCGATTAATTTCCCTGAAGAAGTTCGGACCAGATTGCCGAACGAAACGTTGGAATTAATCATTTCAATTTCGCTGAGATTTTACAAATATAACTTTATAAATGTCTGCTTCTCACTCAGCGCTCAATTATTTTGCAACTATCCGATCAAATCTTGATCACAGTTCGTATGTATCATATTTATGTTTTTGACAAAAGTAGGTTAACCGAGGTAGTTTTTCTATATCAATAATGGGGTTTCTCTGTCTGGAATAAAGTGAATATATGCAGTCAGCATTTGGAATGTGAGACAGTTCATTTGATTATGTAATGGTATCCTGCTAGGCATTGCTGAATGACGACATGATTAGTAAATTAGGTTAGTGTAAACATTACTCAAGTGACGCCGTTTACATGTGGCAGTAGAAAACAAGAGTGTCTGGTAATGGAATTACCTTCAGCAGACCAATGCACAGATATAGACAGAATATTTATACAGTATACTGAAGCCACAACTTACTGCTGTCCTCCTAACTGCGCTTCATTTATCTTCCTTTCGTGTTTCCCACGTTTCTTCTCAAGTATCGTCCATTTCTTCGCTTCGTTATCAAATTCATCTCTCAAGTAGTTGACATTCTTGCAGGTTATATATATATATATATATATATATATATATACATATATAAAGAGAGAGAGAGGGTGAGATAGAGAGATAAAAGGAGCTTTGTCTCTATACCACTTCCAGATCTTTTCAAGAGTACACGCCACATGAGTAGCTCAAAGAAATACCCTTTATATTAAATAAAGTATAATTATATTTCAATTATTATTTGATCTAATCCACAATGCTCAAACCTTTTACTGATATTAAGACTTTATATTGCTTAAAATATCGATTAAAACATTTTATCTCGAAAACTCAAAAGTGCAGTCTGTCAAATTAACTATTATATTAATACCAAATATCATCTGAAGAACGCGGGGGACAGCAATCAGGTGCTGTGGATTTTTATGTTGGACATAGATGGTATAAGACAAAGATTCGAAACACAACACTATTAACAGATGAAAATGTGAAATGTGAATATGTGTATTTTGCAATTTATGAGCCGACCTTATTGATCTGTATAAGCCTATAAATCTCCAGAAGAAAACGACAGGAAATACAAATTAAATCATACAGTTTTTGAATTCTGTTTTTATTCACCGAAAATATCCATTGAGTCATGAAGAAAATCGAAGACAAATTAAGAGAAGAAAATTTTTTTATCGACAGAATCATCTTCAGGCGCTGTACAGCCGTGTTTATACTTACCAATCGCGTATAGTAGCCAATTATTGAGTGATAGGGGATGACATAATTGATATAATTACTCGGAAGTAGCTTCAGAAGTAAAAAATTAAAAGCTATAAATTACACGTTACTCAACGGCACAAAGTTCAGGATTTGATAAGGTTAAAATCGCTACTGAGTGAGAATAAATGTAGTTGAATGCCAATTTAACAAGTGTAAAGAAGGTGTGAAGATGTACAAAAAGGAAGTTATGTGAGTGATAATAGTGAATTAATTAATAAAGTAAAAGCAAATCAAAAGTAAAATTGAAAAAAGAAAAAATTTAAATGTTTTACAGGGAATGACTAGAGGAGGTTAAGAACAGGGTAAAATAAGAGGATGAGCAAATGTTTTCTGTACACCGAGTTTAGGGTTGTGTCAACAAATTTCCAGCGCCTCCGCCAAACACAAAAGTCGAATCCTCACGCCTTTTGTACCATTTGGCCTCACCTTGTAGATGATGTTGAAAGACGACTCTAGTGGAGCTGTGCGGCCGGAGTTCACCGATTGTTCGAGAATTTAACCAGTAATTGTCTTGCATTGTCCTTTTGTTAACCATGCCGCGTAATATTCTGAGATGCGTTTGGAAAGCGTGCGCTTTATGTTTGTTGCCAGTATAACTAGCTCCACACGAGCAGGTGAATTTCTAAACACACATTGATGTGGCCCAAAGTGGCAGTTTGTCCTTCAAACATCCGGTGATCATTTGCCGGCTGTAGAAATTGATACGTATTATTATTATTGCTCCCTTGGGTTCCTAGTGGAACATAGGGCTTCAACTGCACCTCTCCATTTGCTTCTGTCTTCTGCTGTACTTTTCGCCTGCATCCATGTTAGTCCATATTCTTTCAACTCCTCTTCA